ATTTATTTGTTTGTTTGTTTGTTTGTTTGTTTGTTTGTTTGTTTAATATCCCGCCTATCTGGTCGGTTAAGACCACTCTAGAATGCCTGGATATAGCTGCATCTCTTCCTATAATTGCATCCCAAAAGCCAGTGCAAATCTCACTTTAGCCTAATCCGAGTGTTTATCATAAATTATTAGGTAACTAACAGAAACTGGATGTGTATGTGGAAAAACTGGCATCAAAACTGGTAAGGAAAATAGTGGATATATGACTTTTAAAAAATCACTCAGGAAAGAGGTAGAAACTGTTTAAACCTAGCTGTCTAGTTCACAAATCATTTCTGCTTTCTAAGGTTCTTCTTGAGCTCTGCCCTGCAAAAGACCACCATCTGCCCATTTAGTTATAAAGCAAGCCTCTTTGTAAATAAGTCTCAGATGTTCAAGGGTACTGTGTATTTCCTGCTCTCCTGTTTCTCTAAAATCTGTCTTTCCCTCTCATGTTTTTCTGCTCTACAGACTGCTTCTCCTAAACTTTTACATATAGTTTTCTACTTTGTTTCATTTAGCAAAATACTACAGTGAACCAGCTCTTAATCTTTCTGGTATGAATATTATCCAGTAAATTAAGCTGTTAAGGCTGATTTGTACTTTAAAACATGTAGTGCATCTAGATAATCTAAATATTCTCTTAGACAATCAAAGGCAAATACGTTCATTTGGTTTTGCAGATGACAACAAAACCATTTCGATCAGATGTTGGAAGATACTTTGCTTTGCTAGAAGATTTGAATTATTGTTAGACACTGCTTTTGAATGAAGCTTATCATCCTTAATTATGCTATAAACAGGATATTACAGTAGACATCTCAGTAATATCCAAAAATAATAGCCAATTGTGAATTAAATCCAGTAATAGAATCTGGCTGATCCCCAGTTCCTAGAAAACATTCAGACTGATCCCTATTTTCTAGAACTTTATCATAGTAAAATACCTTTATTAGTGTTAAAAGCATCCTAATTTGAATTAGGGACTGCATGTCCTTCTGTGTCCAGGGTGCTGAGTGCTAATGAAGATGAATACTGTAGGACCTTTGCAAAGGCCAGTACAATGAAGGAAATGAAGCTGTATTAGATACACCATTGATACATTGGTTAAAATCCTGTTGCACAGCCATGTCTACATAGTGGGAAGGATTTGATCATCACTGGCAGACTTGTTTTTGTGATTTTGGGGTGCACATGGCTCATTCACAATAACATGTACCCTGATACTGCAAAAACATGTGTACCCTGCAATTGCAAAAAGAAGCTTTGAATCATACCAATTGGATGGCATGATTCCCATTGTGTAGTTGGACCCTGGCCAAAAGGATTTTAGCCAATGTAACTGCAGCATATTTTGAAAGAGAGAAGTGGTGCAACTAGCCATGTGATGTGGATGAATAAAAAACAAGAGTGAGGAAAGGAGGAATGGAGGGAATGGCTTGTTAGATGATACCAAACCACTAAGTGGCTGAGAAAAAAACAGGATCCAGAGTCCATAAGAACCATTCTTGAAGAGCCCTTCCACTTCCAACTCCAGCCAAAACAGAATACTATCCCATGCAGTCCTTGATATATCATGAATGGCTGCAGCAGACACATCCATTCCATATATAGAAACATCTTACACATTCAAAGGGCTCTTTGGATCCTTAACCACAGTAGTAGGAGAGGGAACCTAATGGCTGTGAAAAAAATCATAACATATGAAGAGTAGTATTCTCATATGATTTTAAATGTTATTTAAATTATTCACTCTGCCTTAAATGGAAAAAATATATAAAATTCACCTTCCAGTGTCAAAATTAGGACATTTTTCATATTAAGATACTTAACCTTAGAAAGCATTTAAAAGGGAAACTTACTTGTACCTTCTATCAGTAGCTCTTGCCCATGGCTACCCAAAAGTGTACGAGAAAGAAAAGGAGCAAAATCCACAAATATCTCTCTCAAAAGAGGAGCAGCCTTTTCCAAAGCATGTTCAAGCCTCTCTGTAATACTGAGAAATGGAATATGTTAAGAAAACAAGGTAAGAAATAAAAATTCTACTAAGGAGGGGAAAAAAAGACATATACAGAAGTACAAAATGCATTAATTTGAACGGTTGCACTCATGGCTAAATACCACTGTGTTTAATTTCTATTTAAGTTATAGGAGCAGTGATAACAATCTAAAACTTCCTCCTGACCTCAAATGAAAGGGCACAATCCTGGAAGAAGTGTAGAATGAATTCCATAATGAGTTAAATAAATAGGAAAGTGATACACCCCAGTTCAAGCAAGTCTTTTTAAAAAATACCTCATGTTGGAAGCAGAATCTTCAGGCACAGAAGAAACTGTAGGAACAGATGGTAATCTTGAATTTGAAGATCCGCTGCCTGCAAAAAAAAAATTGGTAATACATTACATAGCATCTGAACATACGAAGCTGCCTTAAACCATGTCAGACCATTGACCCATCTAGTTCAGCACTGTCTACTCTGACAAATAGCAGCTCTCCACAGCTTCAAGGAAAGACCTTTACTATCCTGACTCTTGACTACCCAGAATTATTTTTACTGGAGGGACCAGCAACTTTAACATGGGAAAGCATATGTTCTTCTGCACTGAGCTATGACCTCTGCCTGTGCAAGTACAGGAGGAAGGCAAGACTACTGAATGCTTGAATTACAAGCTGTCTCTTAGTAGCTGCCCCAATATGCACATGGCAGCACAACACTTTCTGTAGAATATTCATTTGTTCATCACTTTGGGGGGGGCGGCAGTTAAAACTTCGATTTGTGATATTTATGATTCCTGCATGAAGGATCTGAAATTCTCACAAGGTGGAAAAACAAAACAAGCAACACACAATTGGAAGTGAGTTGAAAGTTAATTTAGACAAATTCTAATATAAGTGCAGAAGTACTAACCAAAATTTCTCAACATACAGCCTGACTTGGAAAGATGGTACCCAGCTTAACATCCCAACACTTGTTTTGAGATGTTTTCAAAGATGTGATGTGTATTAGAAATACAATTACAATCACAGAATTCATAAGATAAGCAAGATCAAACATCAATTTTAATGAATGTTCGTACTTTTATGTTGTTAACAACCCAGACCTTTCAGGATGCAGCCAGCTATTAAATCTAAATGAACAATATTAAGTTATTTGAGATGTCAACCTCTGATTCTGGACATTCAGAGTAAACAACAATGTTTTCTATTACTCTTAACTAGCTGGAGAATTTGCTTGATGATAGAAAATTTGGCATACTTTCAGTTAAAGTGAAGGGGGATTTGCTGCCATTTTCCCCTGTTAATTATAGCACATGCTGCTTAACGTCACATTTCCCATGCACCTGGAATCAGCTAAATACTAGCAACAGCATGACACATCTGTTCAGGTAGTGCCTTAGAGAAAGAGAGCACCAAACAGTTAAGCTCCAGATAAATGCATTTTAGTGAGAATCACAAATGATTGTATTTGAGAAGTGGTCATTTCAATCACTGGTCTGCCTAGAAACAGTGGAAACATACATATGAGTGAATAACAAAAAACAACACATATGAATTTATTAGAATTCGTTACTTCCAGACCATGGATCACTTCAGCTTTTCAACCCAGAGATAACTTTCAAAATTATATTCTCAACATCCCATAGATCAAATTCTGTAATAGGGCCACTGCCTCAGTATCGTTTGAAACCCAAACTAAAATATTTATTTTAGTCAAGCTAGACAATTTTAAAAAAATTCTTTTTTAGCAAAAATTATAAATGTCCCGATATGGTTTAGCACACTGTATAGTGTGGTCAAAGCAAACAAAACAAAATAGTAAGTACATTACTTTTCAAGTGACCCAGGTGTTATTTCATGTAAATATTTTTTGGATGAATGCATGAAATATAGTTTCCAACTGAGTTTTCCTTTAAGGCATAGCTTTTGTACATTTAGGAGAAAAGAGACATTTCAGAAACATGTTTTCATCTCAAGCACACATGCAAGTAAGTGCAGTAGCTACTTCAAACATGTGGAACCAAAGTGACTTATCTCTCTTATCCTTTCACTGATAAACTGGCTCCTTCAAACTGACAGTTTTACAGACATTCGCAAGGACATAAAAGAAAATGCAAATAGATCATCTGTCTAGCACCCTTCTAGTGAAAGCTTATTGTTTATTCAAGGTCCCCAAGGGTCTAAACAAATAATGTCTCTAGCAATAAACTGTCCTTAAAAGGAAGTGCTGCTCCCAAAACACTTGCATGTCTTTGAATGTACATATGCAAAGAAAAGTGATACCTACTGTGCAATTTAATGACAAGGTCGCAACTTCTAGGAGAAAAAGTCTGATTTCCCCTCCTCTAACACAGTCTAGCAAATTTAAGAAACAAAGGGTTTCTTTCTGAATGAGTATCTAGTTAAGCCATGATTTAGCTCAGTTACTGAAAAATTTCTGGGGCAATAAGGATTCTATAAAAGAAAGATTTAAATAATTAAATAAAAGGATTTTTTTAGCTTAAAAATGCGCTGTTGCATCCTAAACAAAATAAGATTTTCTTCAACTCTACTACATTCTGATATGCACAATTTTTACAAAAAACAATTTTCTCTCCCTTCTGAGAATTTATCAACATAATTTTGCTGCAAAAAACAGCATTAAGAAATAGAAATTAAGAAATAGCAATGGTCCACCAATTCTTCCATCAACATTTTGGAAAAATCCTTATGATTTCATTTAGTTCTAAAGTCACAGACTCAGGTTGCCACAAACCTTTAGATATTGTGCACTTTGCTGGATGTTGCCCAGGTACCTCATCTTGAAAGTGCAGTTTTGTCAGGTGGATACTTCACTTTTCTGGCACTGAATGCTCTATATTTATTACTGGAGAAAAGTGTCATTTGGAATGTAGCTACATAAGTAAGGAATGGAGGAAAGTCATAATTTTGTGGCAGGAGACATTGCATGTTGACAGTTTAGTGCTACACCTGCCATTGCTAGGTAGCAATGCCAAGAAAGATATCTGTCTGAGATGTTAGAGAACTGTTGTGAACGGGTAATACCAGGCCAGAAGGGCCAAAGTTCAAATTCAGCAAGACAGTTTTGTGACCATTCTCAAAGCACTTACAGAATAATGACTCATGACAAATCAGTCTCTGTTTTAAATATCTCAACATCATTTTGGAGCTGCTATTCTGCTCTACTGTTAAGAGTGCTCAGCAGCAGCTTTTAACAAAACATGGGGCAATTCAGATACAGCACCTTGATTAATCACTGTTCTGGATTACTTCATGTACTGCTTAAAATGTCATGCTGTTTTATAACTTCCAAATGGGGATCCATGTTGGCCTGTAGCAATGTCAACAAAGAGTCCTCTGGTACCTTATCAATTAAAGCCAGTATCCTACTATGAATTACGATGCACAAAACATTTAGCACAGGAATAGATGCAGCTAACTGGCAAGGTATCTGTTGCATGCTGGTCAAACAAAGAGGTGCACAATGGTCATGTGACAGGCTGCCCGCCAACAGGGCTATATCTGCTTATGTGGATGCATATGTGACAAATGCAACCACATTCTAACCTAACAAATTGTAAATGAATTTATTAATTAATATTTTATCTTAACATTTATTTAATATTTCTTCCTTTATTTAAAATATTTTATCCTTCTTTTCTCCTAAAAAGGGACCCAAGGCAGTCTGTATCATTAAAAAGACAATAACAGAAAGCTAAAAACAGTAATTATACAAATATTTTTAGAAGAGTTAAAAACAACATTATATTTAAATGTTAGCCTGCCTGAAGAGAAATGGCTTCACTAGCTTGTGGAAGGACAGCACTCCCACCCACTGCAGCCAAATCTCAAACTGGAAGCTACCTCTTCTTCCTTGGTTGCGGCACTTGTAAATCCTCGATTCTTTTAGAGATTGTTGATAAGGTGGCTTGACTGATTACAGATGTAGAACAGCCCCGGGCAGTCAATCCGGCCTGTGAATGACTGCTTCTGCTGGAGGGGACTGCAAGCACCAACGGAAAGCTGCAAGGAAGGAGGAAAGGAAGGTGCGAGAGAGCGATGGGTGGCTTCATCAGCTTGTTTAAATGTATGTAGAAAATTGAGAGAGGAAGGGAGGGTGGGTGGATGTGTGTGTGTATGAGAGAGAGAGATTGACTCAAAACTGAAAAAAGGAACAGGCAAGAAGGATGGACGGCTTGAATTAAGGGGGAAAATGGTGGCTTCATCAAGCTTGTTTAAATGTAATGAGAGAAAATGGACATACTGAACCGAAGCAACCAATTGTTGAAAATTGAGGGAGGAAGGATTTTTGTGTGTGTGTGTGTTTGTGTGTGTGTGTGTGTGAGAGAGAGAGGGAGAGAGAGAGAGAGACTTGACTCTTTCATAAAACCATGAAGAAAGGAACCTTCTGAAATTTGATCTCCACTGCATTTAACTCTGCAGTTGCTTGCTGAGAACAGCAGAAGTCTGAAGTGTGTAGCAATCACGTTTCTCTATTTCTCATCCCCGAAGCAGACAAGAGTATCATAGTTTATTCCCAAAATCTGAATCCATCTTTCTGCTCCTGATCCTACTTTGACTGCAGCACCAAACAAAAGACTGTGGGTTTCTTTATTGAGTCAATCCATGTCATGTGCATTCTTCCTCTTTTCCTACTGCAGTGCACTTTTTCCTGTATTTCTGCCTTTTCCAGTGAGCTTGCCTTCTTATGATGCCACTATAGTCAAGAACCCCTCGTTTGGTTATTTTAGCTTCTTGTGAAAGCTCACACTTAATTTGCTTTACTTATCTTTCTGACAAGTCATAATGGGTTTGTCATCACTTTACTCCCAAGTAGCAGGAATCTTTTAATTTCAAGGCTGCTGTCACCATCTGCAGTGATCATGGAGCCCAAGA